CCATCTTTTAAATAACATGCTAATAATTTTATTTAATTAATTTACATGAGGTATTAGTTGAAATATCTTAAAGTTAGAAATCTAATTCATCATCTTCCATCATCTCCTCTAACTTAGATTTCTTACTCTCTTATGTCTCAAGTTTCTTATCTTTTTCAGACTATTGTACTTTAAAGAGATCTGCAAGGTCTTATTCATCTTCTGTTTTCTCTCTAAATATTAGAATATAAAATACTAAAGACTACGAGAATAATATTAATTGATTAATCTCTCAATTTTTATTTAAGGTAAATCTAAATGTTATTCAGTCTTTTCTATTGATTCAAATTCTATGTCCAATTAAACTTATTCTTATGATTCTTTCTTTTTATCAAATTATTCCTTTTCTTTAAAATCCTTTGTTTTTATATCTCCAATTGGAATCATAAAGGATTAAGACAAATCTTTTAACTAAACTAATAATAATTAATATTACAGTATACAAAATGCTCTTAGCCTAAATTGCTGTTTCAATTGGACATATTATAGTGACTCTTAAAGTATTTTATTTTTTCATTAAATCTTTAGCTTAATTAACTTTCAATTTCAAATCTTGCATTGTAATACTATGACTTAATTTAAAATGTTGATCATTTAATTTTTATTATTCTTTAATCTTTACAATATCATTCATGAATTTTGATGCAAGTTCATCAGAGTAATCACAAACTTTACATAAAGCAGGTTTAATTTCTTAATTTATCATAATTAAGTCTTATCCCAATTTATCAGCTTTTTTTCTTGCTTCTTCACATGCAAAAACACCAATCAATTTATTTTATGAATCCAACAATCTAACATCACCAAAGAAATTAATGTCTTCATTTGCTAAACTAGGTTTAATCTTAAGTAAAGTAGAAACTTTATTTATGATATTGGCATTAAATTTGTACTTTCCAAAACAATATAGAGACACTTTTCTGAACATAATTTAATTATATCAATAATATATTATTTCTATAAATTTTATTTTGAATCATTATTAATTTATCAAGAAAGAGTATTCAATTTACTGTACTTTCTTTTTAGAATCAAAAGAAATATATCACATTGAATATGAATTATATAAATATATTATTAATATTAGTTCAGGTATCGTTATAAATTCATGTGTTTCATACTGACGTGTAAAATTTCATCATTAATTAAAACTTAATTTTATTATTAATAAGAAATTTGGAATATAAATTGTATTTAAATTATGAATTTAGAGATACTTTTTCTGATTTTAGTTTAAAATATATATATATTATTTTATTTGATATTTTTGAACATCCTTACTTATGTAACCAACAGAAGTATATTTGATATTATTAATATAGGAAACTTAAGTATTGAACTCATCTCCTAGAATGAAAACAGATCGATTTGTAAGTACATAAGCTGTAGCAATGAGATCTATTCAAAAAGCAATAAAGTAATTTTGAGATTCATTTTAGAAAATAAGATTTGTCTTTTATTCTTGGTTCCTTAAATAATTATTAAGGGGCATCCTAACAATAAAATGAAAGTGTAAGAAACTTTTAGATTTTTAGTTATAACTGTTTTAAATGGAAGAAAAAGAAGTTCATTTAAAATTAGGAGAACTTAGAAAAGAGTTTGATACTTACCACACATCATCTCTTTATAAGGAAAAGGAGATATCTTAATTTAAAGTAGAAAATAATTATTATTTTTAAGGATCAACTTCTAAAATTAAATTTGGAAGAAGCAGAGTTAATAAATAATACAACAGAATTAACAAAAGAATTGGAATGTTCAAAAACAGAATATATGTAGGCTAAATAAAGATTTGAGGAAAGTTAAATGAGTGAAAAATCTTATACACATGTTATAAATAGATTAAAGCATGATGTATTATGTTTTAGAAAGAAATTAAATGAAATGGGAGATATTTATGAAAAGAAGAAAGCAGAAGCAAATTAAGCAGATGCAAAATAATGGGAATCAATATAATTAAATCAAATGACAAGAAAGTTATGTGATGAAATGATGAATGTATTTATCTATTGAGATATAATTATATAGAATATTGAAATTGAGAAGAATAATAGACAAAGACAAATTGCATAATATAATAAACAAATTAAAGCATAATTAATAGCAAAAGAAAAAAGAGATGAAAGAATGATAAAATAAAGAGAAATAGCAGAACATGCCAGTAATGATAAGGATGCAAGTGAAGTAATTTGATTATTTAATATTTTTAATAGAAAAAATGGAGAAAACTATTATTAGCACATAAAGTAGTACATTCTTTATTGAAAAATAAAATGGAAAAAGAAATGGAAAAATTTAAAGTTGTAGAAACTGCATTTTAAGAAATTAAGACAGCTACAGGAATTTCAGAAGCATAAGAAATAGTTTAAAAATTTTTAACAAAGGAAGCTACATATGGTTAACTTTTAGGTACGATAGCAGAAAATGAAAAAAAAATTGAACATTTGAAAAGGAAAAAAGAAAATTTGAAGTAGAATTTTTATTAATTTTTTAGAAATAAATTTTAATAATTAAAAGACGAAGTTTAAATTATGGAAATGAGTGCAAAACCTTCAAAAAAGGGAGTAGATTCAGAGATATATAAATAATTTTACAGTATTGATGATAGAGCAAAAAAAGCAGAAATTATGAAATAAAAATTATATGCTTGGAGTATTAAAATGTTAGGGAAAATAGAGAAAGCCTCTATGTAATTTTTAGATGAAAGAACAAATTATTATCATATTTATCCAAGAGGTAAAGAAGTTGAATTATTTGAATAACTTTAAAAGTTAATTTTTTAAGATATTGAACAAGCTAGACCTGAAGTAATTTAAATTATTATATAAATAGGAAATTTTGTAAATTATTGGAGAAGTTAATAGATCCAATATTAGAAATGATACATTAAATGAGGAATATCTCAAAAAAAATGTTAGAATTAAATATAAAAAATTGACTTAAAGAGAAACTATTAAAAGAACTAAATCTATGGACTCTAAAGCTGATTTAAGCAATAGAAGTTTTAGTTAATTTGGATAATCTAGTGATTCAAGTGCTGAATAATCATATTATGAATCAGAATCTGAAGGAAATACTATAGATGAAAATAGTGAGAAGAACCATTTTAATTATTTAAGGGATGAAGCAAAATAAATTAAGAAATAAAAGAAAAAAGATGATGGTTCAGATGGAAAGAAATGATAAAGGCATTATTTATCAATATATATAATTAATTTTTGAGTTTATAAATGAATAACTAAAAAGAGAGTGAAAATGATGATGTAATCAATTATAACTTAATTAGTCTGATTAAAGTCAAGTGAGTATAACAGTTCAATAGAAAAATAAGGAAAGATAATTAAGAAAAATCCAAAAGTTATAATCTTTAATCAATAAACCATTTTAGTAATTGACTGACGAAGAACTTAATAAAAGAAGAATACTATCAAAAGTATCCGATCTTATAGGTAAAACTAATAATCCACATTAATTTTTATAACCATTAAATCATAAGTTTGTGCTTAATATAAATCATCTTCAAAATGCATCAATCCCTAAAATAACATCAAATTAAACAGATCCAGAAAAAGATTATGTAGATTATTTGATGATGAAAAAGTGTAATCTTTAATTTATATATGATAGAAAAGTAATAAGAGTAAATGAGGAGATAGGCCATTAAGAAATAAAACTTAAAAGAAAACTATGATTAATTATGGCAACAAGAAGAAGATTTATCAGATAAAGAAATAAAAGATACATATAATGTTAATAAAGCACTGACTATAGTACATAAAAGTTAGGTTTAAAAGGAAAAGTAATTAAAATCTGATGAAAGAATTTATTTTGGTAAAAACTCTTAATCAGTGTAAAGAAATTCAAATTTTCAATCTTTAACTAATTCTAGATTAATTTTGATGTAGGATTAAGATATTAATGAAACTGAAGTAAATTAATATTTTAATATAGTGCAGAGAACAATAAGCCAGAAGAACTCTTAAGAAAATGAAAACAAAATAGGTTATTAATATAGTTTAGTAAGCCACAAAAAAAATATTCAATAAGAAAGATGAATAAATTTAAAAGGAATTAATTATGCATTAAGTTTATAAACAAATGAATAAAGAGAAAAAAAAAGAGAGTATAAAATCAATAGATAGCATATTTAGAAATTGTAATATATTATAATAAATCTATAAGCACAAAATGAGGAGATTTTTCAGTAATCCTAAAATCAAAAAATGATCACTAATAAAATATTGAGTGAAAACAAATTTTTTTAACCTAAGAAATTGAATGAAATAAAACCTATTCAAAGTAGAGTCTAATTAAGCCACATTATTTAAAAATAAGATTCTAGAACTGATGATTCTCCTCCTAGATTTTATAGTAGAAAGATTAGCCTTATTAATGATAAAATTACTAATTTAGTATCTTAAATAGATTTAATCTAACAAAAAGAAATTGATTAATTAACCTTTATTAAGTAATTAGAAAATGAACAAGATTTATATAAGACATATAGAGAATCCCTTTAGCCAGATTAAATATAAGATACTTTAAAATCTCTATTAGGTCCAAGTAACAATAATTATAGAAAACCTTTTAGATTTAATAATAAAAAGTTCTTTAATTAGATTTTATGAAAATTTATGTATGTATATTAGATTTACACATTTACATAATTACATACTTTGGTTTTATAATTCTTAATAACAAAGCATAAAAGTTTAATAAAAAGAGTATAACTATATATTAGATTTTTAAATTTCATATTTTATAAAGATAGAGCTCTTAAATTTAAAAATGATTGTCTTTATTTAATATTATTCATTTTTTTTTATTTTAATTGATTTTTGGAACTTGTAAAAAAGGTAATGAACTTTAATTTCAAATTTAAATATTATTTCTTGAATTACATATATTTTGTCAGAATAAAAAAAATTTAATTTTGATTTTTAAACAAAAAAAGTTTGATATCATTACATAATAAGCAAATTAACTAAATCATCAGTTTTAATATATCCATTTTATGATTAGGTTATTTCAGAGATAACAATATCAAATTCTGTTAAATTAAGAACATCTCCAATTTTAGTAATGATTGATTTTATTTCTTTAATATCTATGTAACCAGATTTATTTTTTTCAAATATTTTTAAGGCATTTATAATCTCTTATTTATTTGGTTTACGATTTCTAACATTATAACAAGCTGTTATAAACTATTCAAAATTCAAAATTTATGTTTTTTTGGGATCCAAATACATTCCTAATTCTCTAATTTCAATTGTTGTAACTAAATATCCTATGGCCCTTAAAGCAAAACCCAAATCATCACGTTTAATAGTACTATTTCCAGTTTTATCAAAATAAACAAACATATCCATTATTTATTTAAGTTCTTAAGGAGTAAATGCCTTTTTTGCAGTTTCAGCATCTACTTTAGTAAATTTTAAATATGGATTTGATAATTTGCCACCTCTTGAGAAATGAGCAAAGTTATTTTGAGTTTTCATAATAATAATAATAATATAATTATTGCTTATTTCTCACTAAATGCAATATTAATAAGATGTTGTAAATCAATACCACTCTATAATTGAATTGTATTATAATGAAGCAGAACTAAGCAATGAAAATAAAACAAGAGAAAATTAAGCAGCTACCAAAATTTAGTAATGGTATAGAATGCATGTAAAGAGAATTAAATATCTCAAAATTAGATATGTAAATTTGAATTCAATGTTATTAGAATACTATTATTGTTGAAAAGTTTGCTAAAGGATATCTGGCAAGAATGTTAATGAAAAGAAATAGTGATAATAGATATAATGAAAGAAATCTCAAATACTTCAGTTATTAGGCAACATAAATTCAAAGATATTTTCGTGGTTATCATTATAGAAAATATTATCTAAATTGGGCAACAAGAAAAGAATATTTGACATTCTTAAAAAGAAAAAATGAAACGTTTTTAGAAGAACTTAAAAGAGTAGAATAAGAAGAGGCATAATAATTAAAGATTAGATAAGAATAATTAGCAAAAACAGAATTTGAATCTTTGGCACGTAATTTGCATCATCTTTCATCAACAAAATCGATTTCTGGTATCTATAATAGACCTTTTGGAAATAAGGATATTGTCTTTGACATGGATGTTGAAAGTCACTTAAAAATTGTATTCCATAGCAACTATGAATGGGAAAAGTCATAATAAATGTCAAGATATACAAGAACTAAAAAATTGAGTATGTAAACAAAATTAAAACCTTTGAAATGAATATATAAATTACATTTCTAATTTTATTAATAAAATCTAAATTTATTTAATAGCTAATTCAATGATCACATAATTTTCAATTTCAAAATAATAAATATAATTATTATGATTATTTTATTCTTTATTTCTCTAAATACATTTGTGAACTCCTTATCATTGAAATAAGTATTATTAGCAATAGATTGTGGAGGATAAGAATCATTTAATTCTAAAGAAGGATATCTTTATCAAGATGTATTAACTAATTTCTATATGAGGATTAATATTTTAGTGGTGACTCAAGAGTATCTGATTATACATATAATGATGTTGTTTATGCTGGAATTGCATACACTTTTACTCCAAGAGTTTATTTTACTGAAAGACATGGTAATTCATTTGATTACAACATTCCTATAAATAAAAATGGACAATATACAATAATTTTATAATTTGTAGAAGTAAGTAATTTAATCCATAAAAAAAGTTATATTTTGAAAATGAGGGAGATAGACAATTTGATATCTATATTGGAACAAAAAAAATATTAAATAATTTCTCAATTATTGATAAAAAGCATTAAAAAGGTTCTGCAAAAGAAGTGTTCATTTATATTGAAATTTAAGATGACAAAGTTTTACATGAAAATGAAGAATGCAGCAAAGGGTATAGATATATATATATACATTTTAGATTTGTTAATGGAAAATTAAAAATTGGATTTAGAAAAGGAGCTGCTGATTTACCTAAAGTTGATGGTATAGTGATTGTTAAAGGTCATAATGCTGGAGAGGAAGAAAAAAATCATTTAATAGATAATTGGGAATAAATTCTAGAAGAAAATAGAAAAAAAGAAGCAGAATTAGAAAGAGCAGAATTAGAGGCATAAAATATGATTGTACCTGATTAAGTTGAACCAGAAGTATGTTATTTCTTTTTATTTCATCTCAGGAAGGTGAAGGGTTATTTTCATTCTTATTATCACCTCTTGGTATAGGAATAATTGCTTTTGGAATGTCTATTTTTGGATTGTTAATATTCACAGGTGAAAATTAGGATTAAAAAAATAAAAAGATTAATAAATCAAAATGATTATTGTATTAGTAAAATAAATCTAAGTAGAAAAGTAATTCAATCAGATATCATATTGCATTTTATAATTCTATTTATAAGTTAAATACTCAATATAAAGAGTAATAAATGTTAATCATAAAAACTCAAATAGGATTGTATCTGAAGCTGATGATCCAATAATATAAAATTTCTGTTTCAAGTCTTGTACGATAAAGATATCATAATGATTTTTTTCTTACCTAGTTTCAATAATTAATTCACCTTCTCCATAATATTCAACTCCATTTATTAATTATTTATTGATATTTTAGACATCAAATCTTATTTGTGCATGAAAAACTATTAAATTTCTTTATTCATCTTCACCATTACCAAAAATTTCATTTTTCTTAAATTATAGATTCATATATAATGGTTAACCATTCATTTTTGCAACTATAAATTTATTAAACTCTTTCAAATTCTTTAACTATTATAATATTAAAAATAGATATTTACTTTTCTGTAATCATCTTCAGGATTACTTAAATTAATTGAAATTTTGGCATCTTCAGATACAAGTTCATAAAAATATTTTGAAGGTAAAATTATATTATTTTCTTAGTCATTTAAACGATATTTAAGTTTCATTAAATCGCTAATCCCATTCAAAGTTTTATATGCATAATTGTTAATTCCTTAAAGTGTAATTTTTAAATTAATTGCTTCCTATTTTACAATATGATTGTGAGTTTCTAAAAGTGAATCTAATGAAGATTTAAATTCAGAACTTTATAAATCTGTTATAAGTTTATTTTTAATATAGCAATCTTCTGGAATACATAACAATCTTTAGATTAATTAAAGACCATTTTAACATAATTTTACTTAATCTTTAGTTAGAGTAAATGTTTAAGAATTTTGCTTTATAAATTTAATAGAGGTTAACAATAGTTTATAGATGGAAACTCCAAAAATTTTATAATTTTCTTACAATATTTATTTTTAAATATTCTCTCCAAATGTATGATTAATTAAAGTCATCCATACTAAAGTTGAATTAAATACTTAATTCCATTTCTGGCATACTCTTTATAGTACTAAGCACATTTTAATAGGATTTTATAGAAAGCATAGAATTTATGAAGCAACAGGTGAATTAATTAGAGAAAAACTAAGTTTATTATTCCTCTCATATTTTAATTGTGAATAGTATTGATGATAGTCTCCTTAAATCTCTGGTTATTTTTATATCTTTTATGGTCTATAATCACGTTACACTTATTTAAAGGTTTTCTTTTTTTCATCTAATTCTCTTAATCCTTTATCAACTTATTGAATTTCTGTTTTTACACTTTCTAACATATCATTAAACTTCTTTTCTTTTGTTAATAGTTCCCTCATCCAAGCTGGATAATTTTCTTCTTTTGTCTAAGCAGGTTTGATATCTAATATAGGTGTATCATCAGCTTCTTCTTCACTCATTTTTATAATTATAAGAATAATATTAAAATTTTTAGAATTAATTAATTATTTTCTCAATTTATATTAAATATTGATTTTACTTAAACTGAATTAATTATACTTTAGATTAAGCCATTTATTATCTATTATCAAAGTTCTCATTTTGAGTGGAGTCCTAATTATGGGTTTTCTTTATAATAAAGGATTATAAAAATCATTTTAAATAAATATATTAAGATATTCTTCCTATTAAGTAGTTACAATTTCTTAACTTTGATTATAATTGAAAACATCTACTTAAATAATTTGAATAAAATTAATATAAGTTATTCTAAATAATTTATTTTGAATTTCTACTTTACAATATAAATTAATAATTTCAATGTTGCTTAAGAAATTAAACTAATATAACTTCTTTAAGTTGAAATATGGTTACTAGAGTAGACAAAAGAATCCTAAATATTTTCATAATCCTTTAGTTGAAGTAAATCTGTATTAACCTATTTGATAGGGGCAGTATTCAGTTACTCCTGCAAGAAAGGTTCCTTCCAATATCATAAGACCAAGCTATATGAGTATAATAATCTATGATGTTTTTAGCCGACAAAAAGCCTATTTTTGGTATTTATGAAGGCCCTGCTGTAACACATGGGAAGAATATGATTGAAAGTAATTTTAAAATTTAATTCAGAATTGAGGAAAGCAGCTAGTATTGCAGCAAAAACTGCTTAGGTTGCTTAAAGATCAGTTAAAAAAGGGATGACTACAGATGAATTAGATAAAATAGTTCATGATTATATCATTTCACAAAATGCTTATCCATCACCAATAGGATTTATGGGATTTCCAAAAAGTGTTTGCACTTCAGTTAATGAAGTTTGTTGTCATGGAATACCAAATCTAAGACCCTTACAAGAAGGAGATAGTCTTAATATAGACGTCACTATATTTTATGATGGTGTTCATGGTGACACTAGTGTGATGGCATAAGTTCCAAAAATGAATTAAGAAATATCAAAATTGATAGAAACTACTTAAAAAGTTAATACTCAATTAATATTAGGCTCTTTATGAGGCAATAAAAATATGTAAGCCTGGACAAAAATTTAATCAAATTGGAAAAGTGATATAAGAAATAGCTAATAATGATGGATATTATGTAAGTGAAGTTTTCACAGGTCATGGGATTGGAGAATTGATGCATATGCCTCCTACAATATTTCATACATGTAAAATGTTAATAAAAAAGTTTTAGTAAATCATTATCCAGGTGTAATGGTACCTGGGAATGTCTTTACTATAGAGCCCATACTCTTAATGAAGGATGAATAAGATTATAAGATTTGGAATGATAATTTTACAGTTATTTCAACTGATAATCCAAGTGGTAATTAAATTTTATTAAATATATTTAGCATAATGGGAACATATGATATTAATAACTGAAAATGGATATGAAGTATTGACAAAAAGAGATGATGAAATAGAGTTATGATTAAATGTTATTAAATTATTTTTAATGAAAATTTCTCTTTAAGATTTTGGATTTCATCAACCTAATGCTCCTGAAGTGAATACACCAAGATCATTAGAAGCATGTAGAAGAGAAGGAATTCTTCCTAATGAATTAGTTAAAACATCATTTGAAGATTTTCAAAAAAAATATAAATTATCAAACTTGGATGCTAAAGGAATTGAAACTTATTATAAACATTTTGAAGATAAAAGAGAATAAAAATTTAAAGATGTTATTAAATAAAGACATATAGTAATAGAAGATGAGAAGCAAGGTTGTTTTATATTACAATTTGACTAGGACTATGGAATCCTGATGGATTAGCAAAAAGCAAGATGGTTTCTAAATATTCTTAATAAGATGTATCATCTTTGATTGAAAAAGAAAAATAATAAATTGAAAAAATTAAGAAAAAATAGTAAAAAGAAATTGAATCAATGTTAGAATATGAATTGAAGATGTAAGAAATAAGAGAATAAAATGAGAAAAAATTATAAGATGAAAAAATAAAATAAAAATAAAGAGAATTAGAATTAGAAAGAAAAAAAGAATAATAAGAAGAAATAAAAAAACAAAAAGAAATATAAAAATAATAAAAAAGAGAATAAGAAGAATAAGCATTAAAAGAAAGAATGAAATTATTAGAATTAAAAGAATAAGAAAGATTAAAATAAGAAGAATTAAAACTTAGATTAAAAGAAGAAGAGAACCTAAAGAAAGAATAAGAAAAAAAGGCATAATAAGAAAAATTGAGAATGATAAATGAAGAAAATATAAGATTATAATTAGAAGCATTAGAAAAAAGAAAAAAAGATATGAATGATAAAGCAGAATAAAGAAAGAAAATGATGGAGGATTAAAAAGAGAAGAAAAAATAAGAAGCAGAATAAGCTAGAATATAAAATGAAACTAGAATAAGATTAGCTAAAGAAAGAAATGATATAGAAATTTTAAGAGTTAAATAAGATGTAGAAAAAAAATTATAAATAAGTGAATAAAAAAGATTATAATTTGAAGAAGAAAAAAAGAAAAAATTAGAATAATAAAAATTAGAAGCAGAATTACATTCAGAAATGATAAAAAAAGTAATTGAATAAAATGAACAATTAGAATTAGAAAGAAAAAAATAATATTTAAAAAAAATTGATGAGGCTGAAGAAAGAAGAACATTATTAGAAAAAGAATTAGAGAAAGAGAAAGAAAAAAGAAGATAAGAAGAACATGAAAGAGAATAATAAAGACATTAAGTATTATTACAAAATGAATAAAGATAAAAAGATAAAATTGAAGAATTTTTAAGAAAATTTTAAGAAAAAGATGAAAATTTATCTAAAATATAACTTGAAAGGTCTATATCATTAACTGATAAAAGAAATCATGAAACATTAAAAAGGATTGATAAAAAAGATAATGTTGAAAGAATAATGAAGAAATAAGAATATGATAGAATGAAATTATAGGAGAAATTAAATGAGAAAATGGAAAGAGCAGATAAAATCTAAGAGGACTTAAATTAATTATTATAATAAAGATAAAATATGAGAAAAGAAATAGATAAATAAAAAAGAGATCTTCTTCTTAAATTAGAAAAAATTAAGGAAGGAAAAGTTCCTGCTAATGATATATAGAAATAATTTGGAATATAATCATCAGTTCTCTTAGAAAAGTAACATTAAATTCCAAGAAGAACACAATCTTAATCAATTAGTTAAGATAATTTAAATTAAACAAAAATTGAAAAACCTAATAAAACTATTAGAATTTCTAGACTCTCAGATAAATTACCTGAAATTAATTAATCTTCACAATAAAATCTTGAGCCATCTTCAAACTCTAATACATTATAGAAAATTGAATAGATTCAATCTTCCCCAACAAAATCTTAAAGTATATCAAAATTTTACTATTTTTAGATGAAAAAAAACCGATTAAACAAACTAAAAAAATAGATCTAAGCAAATCATAAAATTTATAGCCTCCAAATCCATAAGTACTATTTGAACTTAATTAAATTATTTAAAGATAGAATTAAGAAATTATGAGAGTCTTTATGGAAGAATAAGCAAATGAAAATCGAAGAGATTAAAAGATAAAGATTTGCAAACCTGAAGTTAGAGCAAAAATGGAAAAAATATATAGTCTAGAAAGATAAAAGGCTTAATAAAGAATATAAAAATTATAAGAATAACATTTTAAGGAATAGTAAGAATTTAAATTAATTCATTTTTCTAATTGATTGATATTAATATTATTTTGAATACAATTTATTGAAAGATATATTTCAGATACAATATTTATTAAAAAAATCACTTATACTGAATACATTCTAAATATGTTAATATCAAGTCAAAATATGATATATTTATATATTTAATTTAATGGGAAGTGTATGTAAAAATATGAAAAATACACAGGATCTTAAATAAATTTAAATGAATTGCAAGAACAATAAAACATTCAAAAAACTAAAAAGAGCAGATTTTCAACATCCTAAACAAATTCTAGATTTTGACAGTTCTTATTCAATATGTTCAGAAAGAAATTCATCATAATTTTCTAAAACTATTGGTCATATCAATACTTCCAGTTGTATATATATGAAAAGAAGAGATAATTAATTTTTTACTAGAAGAGTAAATAGCAGCTTAAACAGAAACAGTCTAAATTTGCTCAAAAAAGATGATTATAATTCATAATCTGATTTATCTATAGAACTGATAGATGACGCTTAACTCAAATTAATAATACCTTATCATGCTAGGAGATCTTGGAGTAAAAAAAGGGTAACAACTAAGGTAGATTTATTAAAGAAGGTGAAAAATTAGAAATACTTAGAAAGATTTAAAAGGAGGAAAACTTGAGAATAAATAATTCGTTTATAAGTTTTCAATCTCTCTTATTATACTCTATAATACGTTTATTATTTGATTTTTTATTGGAAAAAAATCGACGAGTTTAAATGGGTTTTATAAATATATACCTTATAAACTGGAAGATATCTTGCAACCATTTTTGTATTATATTATACTTAATCTTACTTCAATCTCATTAAATATTTATTTAACGAGTTAAAATTATATATGTTTTTTATTGATTATGTTTGTTTAGAAATATTTTTAAGGATGATAAAGTTTATTGATGATCTATTTAATTATTTCAATATAGAATATATTCTTTAAAAATTGTAAACTTACTCTTTCTCTTTTTTATGTAATTAATAATCATGAATAAATCAGATTAATTAATAAAATAAAACTGATAAAGTAGGATTCTTGAAACTTAACCAAAAAAAAAGAAGTGGAAATAAGAATATTTAGATTTGTTATTATATATATTTAAATAATGATAAGTCATTTTATATAAATAGAACTTAAACACTATTATAATTAATTATTTTAATGAGAAAGATATTATCTTCAGCATTAGCAGTAAGTCTAAGAAGAACTCCAATAATGACTCCAAGACTTACTTAACGTCTAGCTATCACTTTAATCTCACTGCCAATTATTCGCTACAGTTTTTAAGTATTGCTTTTAATTAATATATAAGACTCTTAATTTGAATGATGTATATGAAATATCAATCGAAGATGATCTAAAAGAAGGTGAAATGAGAGAAGTGTAAGTGGGTCCAAAAAAAGAAGATGCCGTCTTAGTTTGCAAAGTTGAAGGATAGATCTACTGTGTTTCAAATTCTTGTCCACATGTTGGGGCTCCACTTTCAGCTGGTTTTTTAGTAGGCGATAAAGTTAAATGCCCATTCCATAATGCAAGTTTTTCTATTAAAGATGGTGCTCATGAAGAAGGTCCAATGTTTAGAGGATTACAAACATTCCCAATTAAATAAGAAAATGGCTAATTAATAATAAGAGTGGAGAAAGAATTATTAAATGCACCCAGAACACTTAATATGGCAACTAAGGGAGATGATCCTACACATGTAGTCATTGTTGGTGGAGGGTATTATTATTAAATAATTATATTAGAGTATCAGGTTAAAGTGCTGCTGAGACACTTCGTTAGGCTGGATTCAAAGGAAAAATTACAATTATTACAGCTGAAGATTCATTACCTTATGATAGAACTCCAATGAGCAAGATGTCATTTTTAGTTAAATTATAAGGATTGTAAATAAGATAGCCATCATTTTATGAATAATATGGTATTGATGTATTGACCAATAAAAGTGTTGATTCAATTGATGTTAATAATCAAGAGGTAGTGATTGGAAAAGATAAAATTCGTTATGATAAATTATTATTAGCCACTGGAGGTACAGCTCGTAAACCTACTTTGGATGGAGTAAACTTAAATAATGTTCATACTCTTAGATAATTTAACGATTTATTATAAATTAGAGAAAAGGCTAAAACATCTAAAAATATTGTTATTGTTGGAGCTTCTTTCATTGGTATGGAAACTGCTTCAGCTATCAAAAAGGAATTGAAAGATTAGGTTAATATTACTGTTGTAGATAATACATCTGTTCCATTTGAAAGAGTACTTGGTAGTGAAGTAGGAGCATCATTATAAAAATTGCATTAAGCAAATGGAGTTGAATTTGAATTGTCTGCTGGAGTTAAAAGAATTGCAGGAGAAGGTTCAGTATCTAGAGTTGATTTATTAAATGGAAAATCTCTTTTGGCAGATTTAGTTATATTAGGTACAGGAATCTAACCAAACAACTAATTGGCCAAAGATTAATTGAAACTATCTCCTAATGGAGGTATTGAAACAGATGTGTTTTTGAAGGCTGCTAAAAATGTTTATGCTTCAGGTGATATTGCTAGTTATCCTTATTGGGTTACTGGAGAATATGTAAGAATTGAGCATTAGAATGAAGCTATTAGATAAGGGTATATATTTAATCCTATTTAAGATTTATAGCTGCGTTGAATATTTTAGGCAGACCAACTCCATTAACAGATGTACCATTCTTTTGGACTAGATAATGGGATAGAACATTAGCATATAGTGGAGTAGGATAAGGATTTGATGAAGTGATAATAGATGGAGATTTAAATCAATAGAAATTTATTGCATATTATGCTAAAAAAGGAAGAATAGTAGCTTCAGCTAGTATGAACACTCCAAATGTTTATAAACTTTTTATAATTTAAGGCTTAAATGATTATTTCTGAGGCTTTAAGATTAAATGTTATGCCAAGTGCTTAAGAATTGAAAGAAAATAAGACTACACTTGATGAAATTAAAAAGGTAGTTTTAAGTAAAGGAACTTCATGTCATTGTAAACGTTCAGGATAATGCTAAGCTTAATTGTGAGTATGAAATTATTAAATAAATTGATTAATTAAAATAATAAAACGTGTTTATGATGTTAATAATACTCTTGATGATCATGCAGACTTTTACATCTAATATTGATGTTTAAATTTCATATATCGATGCTTCTTTAATAAACATTCATTGGTGTAGTGATACAGTTTTGGCACTCACTTCAAAAGGATCTGTATATAGAAGTGATGATCGTGGTCGTCAATGGACCAAAATGTCTGAAATTTTCCATCGTAAAGCATTAATTCAACTTGAGGATTCTGATGATAGAGTTGGAATAGTAAATAATTTAGTTGCAAGTCCTGTTGATAAATAACTCATTCTTTTTACAGGCACAGATTAAATTGCATGGATATCACTTGATTGTGGTAAAACTATAACAGCAGTTAATGCAGGCAAGTAATTACGTGAATATTAATTTCATCCAATTGAAAAAGATTGGATACTTGCCTCTGCATGGAAATAATGTGGCTCTGATGAACTTCTTGCTGGTAAACCTTGTGTTTCTTACAAGGAACTTCTATTAAGTTAAGATACAGGAATCACTTGGCATTCCATAGCTACTTATGTTAATTAATTTACTTGGGGTGTCAAAAACAAAGACATGGCTAAATATACTCCAAAAGAACGTATTCTAGCATCTTTTGAACCTCAAGGAAAAGGACATTAATCAATAAGTAGTTGGAATATGGATGCCAATTTATATTATAGTGATGATTTCTTTTAAACTCGTACTTTAAGTGTACCAGCAGGTTCAAGATTTTTATTGACTGAATCCTTCCTTTTTGTAGCTAAAGTTACATCATAATACACCTAAGAGGTTAGTTTGTATGTGAGTGGTACTGAATTAGGATAATATAAATATGCAATTATTGATGCTGATTCAAAATTATTAGAACACTCTTATAGTATTTTAGATACTTCAGAAAACTAAGTTTTTATGATTGTTAATCATTTAAAGCCATCATCTCCTTTGGGAGTAATTTATATAAGTGATTCAACTGGTACAAGGTATTCAAGATCCTTAGAGAATGTGGCTAGATTAGAAAATAGTGCAGAATTTTATAGGGTTTAAGGATTAGAAGGAATATATTTAGCAAATGTATATTCAGAAGATTAAGCTAAAATATATTCTCATCAAGTGTAAGAAGCAATGGAAGAAGGATTCTATGCTTAATAAAATGGGTTTAAAGATGAAGATTTGAAAAAATACAAATAAACAAGGATTACATTTGACAAAGGTGGTTAATGGGTTCCATTAAAAGTATAATTATTAAATTTATAATTAGCCACCTACAGTTGATGCAGATGGGAAACCAATTAATTGTAATAAATGTTAGTTACATATTCATCTTAGTTAATCATTTTATTAATTTGCACCTATTTATACATAAGCAAATTCAATAGGTATAATTATAGCTACAGGATCTATTGGAAAATATTTAAGTTATAGATAAGATCAAGTTAACACTTATTTAAGTAGAGATGGTGGTTTAACATGGATTGAAATAAAAAAAGGTTCATATATTTATGAAATGAGTAATCATGGAGGATTGGTTGTTATGTCTAAAGATTAAGAGACTACTAATTAAATTGTTTTTTCTTGGAATGGTGGAATGGAATGGACTCCCTTTAATTTTTTAGATTAGAAGGCAGAAATCTAAAATATAATTACTGAACCTTAAAATAAAGGAACTAGATTTATAGCTTATGGTTCTATTTAATTAGAATCTAATGGTATTAAAACTGAATAGGGATTACTTGCCACTATAGATTTAGATGAATTACATTAAAGGAATTGTATAGGTTAAGATAAACCTGGAGAAATTGGTAGTGATTATGAATTATGGACTCCATCTGGTTTGGTGAATCCAGAATGTTTATTTGGTAAAAAAGTAACATACATGAGAAAAAGAAGAGAAGCAGCTTGTTATAATCCTGATGCATTAGAGAAAATCATTAGTGTAACACCATGTTAATGTTCATAAGAAGATTATGAATGTGATTTAGGTTTTGTGATGAATAATTAATTATGTGTACCAATAAATGGTACTATCAATATTGATCCACCTGCTGAATGCAATGGTTATTATACTATTTCTAGTGGATATAGAAAAATAGCAGGAGATATTTGTGAGGGTGGAGTAGAACATCCATCAATGAGATTTAGTTGTCCAAATAATAAAGGTTGGATATTTGATTGGTTAGTTATTGGAGGTATTATATTTGGATTATATTGGGTTTATAATAATTAAGATAAGGTCAAAGAATATTTTACTAAAACTGAAATGACTCAACTACCACAGTCTAAATCAGATGTATATTTATATATTTTATCATTAGAAATTAATCAAGTAATTATAATAAAAATAATCTAAACAATAATAATAATAATAATAATAATATTAACCTATCAACCTTGAATAAAATGACTCTTAAGATTAAAAATTTGATGAAGAGTTGATTGAAAAAGAGGAAAATAATTAAATGGAAGATGATGGTTCTCATGAATTGATTTGAATATTAATTAGAATTATGACTGTTATTCATTTATTTAATCTTCCAATTAATTCATATTTATTTGCATCTTTAAGAATAATTGTATTTTGTTATAAATTATTTCTCCATTCTAAAAAAAATAGTTTGAATAAGTTGATATTGATATTTTTTATTAAATAATTATTGTATCATTTTTTAACCTTCTTTTTCTTCTTATTGCTTTCTGATTCACTTTCTTCTTCTTCACTATATTCCTCATCTTCTTCATCATCAGATATAGAGAAACTGTCATCATCATCGTCATCTGCCTAAATTTATTTTATTCAATTATACCTCTTCTTCATCTTCATCCTCATCCTCCTCATCATCTTCATAAGTTTCAGTCTTTTCTTTAATGACCTTACCTTTCTTATCTTTTCCATCCAATGCCTTTAATTTGGGCAACAAATCCCAAATTTTAGATGTAAAATTTTCATCTTCACAAACTGGATTTTTATCTAGAAATAGATGTGTTAATTGGTCAAGTTATTTTAATTACTCAATTTCCTATTAGATTAAGAATATCTAATACATTGAATTCTTTTATTTAATTCTTCTTCAAATTCAAAAATGTTAAAGATGGAAATTTCTAAACTATCATTTTTAAGCATCCATCATCTAAAACATTTTCTTCCAAATTCAATGTATTAATATTTTTATACTCAGAGAGATTATTTAAGGATTCTATTTTACATCTTTAAAATCCTAATTATTCTAACCATATTATAAATGCTATACATAAATTTGGAAATGTTTTTAAATAGTCATCAATCTCTTTGTTAAACTCTTGAATCTATATACCTTAGAAATGCAAGAAATTTATTTTAGAATCATTCTGTCTTGATTAAGAACGTCTTTATTTCTGAATTTGCTCTAAGATTTTATTCTTTTATGAGCTTCCCTTCATTTTTTGATTAAGATGATATTGTAATAACAGATAATATTAAATTTAATAAAATGTAAATAATATTTTAGTTAAATGTTCATATGTTAAATCCTTAATCCTTGACTATATATTACAATCTAATCTTGCCATTTATTTTAGAATAAAATTAGATTTTTATTATCTACTATTAACAAATCTTTTGTCTTCTATAGACCTCAAACTTAGAAATTATTTATATCCTAATAGTCGTATATATTAAATAAATAATGTCTACTGATTTACATTAATAATCATTTCATCATATTTAACATAAAGTTGAAAATTTATCTTATATAATTTTATAAACTAAACTATAAACATCCAATAGAAAATTAGGAAATCTAATATTAAGTAAATAGATAAATTTTACAACTAAATAATAAATATTTATAAATAATAAATTATAATCAATAATGGATATTTATAAATTATACTAATATTAATTTTATATATATTTCTTAAATTTTATGAATAATTAATTTGATTGGTCAAAACACCAATTCCAATAAGTGGAAAAGAAAATAATCACAGAATATGATGTGGAGAAATTCAAGAAAACAAAAATAATTGGTTAACTATTAGAGTTTATGCAAGCATTAATAAAATCAGTATAACATAAGAAAATTTCCTAAACAAAAGAAAATTAGAAGTTTTTAGAAATTTGTATTATTTGAAATTATGATTAGAATAATTTTTTTTATAATTAGAAGAACTACTTCTAAAAGTACCACCAATTTAATAATCATTGAGATATGGCAATATAGCCTTTAGAGATTGGTTAGATTAAATTGGCCCTATTGTTGATAATTATCTGAAAAAGTAACTACCAGAAAATCTATAAAATGCTGCTATAGAGCTTAGAACTTATTTGTTAGATTCATTTGGTAATAAAGAGAGAATTGACTACGGAACAGGACATGAATTATAATTCTTCCTCTTTCTATTTTCTTTATTTAGATTAGGCATTTTTAATGAATAGGATTATGAAGGAATAGTGAGATTAGCATTTTATAGGTATTTAAATATTATTTATATGTAGGTATATCATTTTTGCAAGAAAAGTGCAGATGACTTATATGCTTGAACCAGCAGGTTCCCATGGAGTTGGGGATTGGATGATTATTAATTTCTACCTTTTGTATTTGGAGCTTCAGAGCTAGTATGAAATTCTATCAATTATTAGATATAAAATGATGATGGCCTACTTCCTGATTGCATAATAAAAGAGAACATTGTTAAGAATTTTAAAGAAGAATATATGTTTTTTTAATGTATAGATTTCATTAATAATGTATGGAATCATTAAATATAAAGGTTAAAAAAGGGCCATTTCATGAGCATAGTCCTATTTTACATAGTCTTACTAATTTGATTAGTTGGGGAAAGGTGTGTTCTGGATTAGTAAAAATGTTTTAAGGGGAAGTGCTGTTTAAATATCCAGTTATATAACATACATATTTTGGTACAATTGTTGAATTTCAATGAAAAATATATGAGTATAAGTTTTATCATTTATTAATTATGAAACAGATTAATCATAATACATAATGAGGTTATGTTTATAGTGTAATTTAATAATTTCTTCAAAATGATAAAGTTTGAAAAAACTTGGCTTACCAAAATAATTTAATACTTTACTGTTGCATATTTAATATTAATTTATTAAATGTCAGACCCTGTATATCAAAATCAGTCTTTAAAAAGTTAAACTAATTTACAGACACATAATTTGATTAAGAAGGACAAACCTATCATTACATAGATTATTCGGCAACCTTCAATTCCTTAAATAAGAATATCAAAAAATAATAGATCTTCAAATTATTAACCAACTCCAAATAAATTAATTAATGAAAAGCAAAATCATTTATAATAATTATAAAGAGATTATACATCAATAGAGTCTACTATATTATTTAATAGTTAAATTTGCTTGAATGAATTTGATTTATAAAATCATGTTACTATACCTACTATTAATATCAAAGAATTAATCATACCAAAAGAAAATGTCCTTTAAAAGAAATAATTAAAGAAAGTTAATGAAACAATTACATAACAAAAAGTCACATAACAAACAGAGACTAAAATAAAAATATAAATAAAACAAGACTTATAAATTTCTGCAAAAAATACACTAAAAGAAGATATAAATGACAATGTAAATTCTCTAAATTTCAGAACTAAAAATCTTATGTTTGGAGACTTAGCTGTTTTAAATTTCTACAAAAAAAAAGTAGATTGCAAAAAAATTAATCATACTATGTAAGTTATTTCAAAATTAAATAAATTTAAAAAAGATGATTAAAGTTCCAATCCTTCTATTTTTCCAATACTTGAAATAAATCCAATTAAAATTCAATAATAATAGTAATCTAATCCTGCTGTGCCTTCAAATCATGTGAAGCTAATTTAAATTAAATAAGAAGATTCAGATGAATAAACTGTGAATAAACTTAATTTTCCAATAAATTAATTAGTTCTATAACATGAAGCTTAGAATAAGAGAGATATAGCTATTAGTTCTAAAGAAACACATTTCAGAATACCATTGAAATAAGAACTCAAAAAGCACATCTAATAAAGTTTATCTTTTAACACTAATATTATTTTTGATGTAAAGGAATGCTTCATCCAAAGTTTCCCATGTAGATCTATTTAATTTTAATAAATAAAATTTGATACAAATTCAAAAGAATCAAATTCTATATAAATTAATTAAGGGATTGTTAAAAATGATCAAACTTTAATTATTTAGCCAGTCTAATTGAATAAGAACTTTTAATTTGCGTTACTTATTAAAGATGAAATAGAAATTAACTATAATTCTATTTATTTATCATAAACAACCATATAAGAAAATAAAATACATTTTTAAACTTTAGAATAAAAAAGTAATCCTATCCAAAATATACAGAAATTTACTATGATTCATGATTTTGTTAGGGATATGACTTCTAAATTTCCTCAAATTTCTTAGACTAAATAAATTTACTTTAATGAATAAGATTCATTAATAAATTAAAGTCCTTTAATAACTCAAAATTAATTCAATTTTAGACATATATAATTAGATATAAATAATGAATCTAGCAAAATTATGTAAGAAATGACACCACAAAATTTTGATAATGAAGTTGAAATTTAATTTAATGATTAAATCTAAACAAAAGAAAAACCTTAATATCCTACTTTACTTGAGATGAATAGGATCAAAATAGAAAGGATTAAATAAATTATAATTGGAACTAAATCTCCAAAAGATCTCTTAAAACCTAATTTAGAGATTAAGGAAGAGATGTGTTAAGTCTTTAGTTAAGCTAAATTGAATACAGTTTAAGATGCTTCTCCAAAATTTAAATATTAAAGTGTAAATGGAAGTAAAGTATTTGATGATACAAATAAAACAGAAGTAGTTTCAATTGAGAAACTAAGGAGTTCTAGCATTGATAAAGCAACAATGCATATGTAAATGAGTAAAAATCAATCATCAGTTTTAAATAGATTTAAGAAAATAAAATATTTAGGAAGAGGTAAGATGAGTGACGTTTATTCTATAATAGATAAGAAAACTGGTATGGCTTTAGCATTAAAAATAATTTAGAAATCTTTAATAAAAAGTAAGGGATTAGCCAATTTAGTTAGTAATGAGATTAAAATCTAAATGTGTTTGGTCCATTCTAACATTTTGAAGTGTTTTGGAGTAATAGATGATAATAAATAAGTATTTTATTTAATTATATTTTAGATAGCTTTAATACTTGAATTAAGTGATTAGACATTGTATAACTTAATAAGAAATTAAAAATTGACTAGAAGATAAATGATCAATTTTCTATTTTAGATTTTAAATGCAGTTAATCATTTACACAATTTGGGGATTATTCATCGTGATATAAAACCTGAGAATATTTTATTATGCTAAGATGTTATTAAATTGGCTGATTTAGGGATTTCTATAAGGGCAATCAATAGTTCTTAATATTGTGGTACTATAGGATATATGGCTCCAGAGATTATACAATATCAAAATTATACATCTAAAGTTGATTGTTATAGTATAGGAGTGTTAATTTTTGAAATGATGTATTAAAAACTTCCAAATCAAACTCTATCTAAAATAAAGAATCTTGAGAGGGACCCTTTAATAGATTTAATGAATAATCTCGTAGAACCTGATCAAGAGATTAGATTCTCATGTTAATAAGCTTTAAATCATGAAATTTTTAAAGATTTCTAGTAAAATCAATTCGGAAAACCTTAACTTTAGAAAGAAATGATAAAACTACTTTGATTTAAAATGAAAAATATGAAGTTTTCTGACTTTAACTTAAATTATAAATATTCAATTTTAATTTTTCAATTAAACAACAATGCAAGTTATATCATCCCTAGCTAAGCTATGTTTTTTCCAAGCATTAATTGCTTCAGCCATAAGTTTGTCAGCAGCTAAATCGATATTATCTTTCTCAATATAAGGAACTACAACATTCATAACCTTAAATTATATTAAGGATATACTTCATCATTGCTAAGATACTCCCAAACACCATCAGATGCTACTATTATAAATTAATCTTAAGGAGTAATTGTATATTCAAGTATTTCAGGTATACTAATAACACCAGCTTATGCTCCTAATTTATCACCCATACTTCTTGTCATGGCTAATCCAGGAGCATCTATATATTATAACCAAACTCTTTCTGGTCCTAATTAATTTCCATAAAAATCTATTATATATATTATTATTATATTTTAAACCTCTTTAACTATCAATTCTACCACCTGCTTCAATAATTCTTTACTTCTCTTATTCATCAGATGGTTTATGATCTCTTGTTAATTAAATTGCTTTCCATCCATCTTAATTTCTACATATAATAGCTCTACTATCACCAACATTTGCTGTCCATAATTATTCTTTTCTTATCAATACTGCTACTGCTGTTGATCCAGATAAGGTTGTATCAAATTCACTTTCAATTATTTCTTTATTTGTTTTTTCAAAAGCAAATGTTAAACATCTTTCTATATCTCTTCCTTATTATTGAAATTATTGTTCTATGTATTTTGGTAATTGTTATTTAATCAAATTTGATACTAAATGTCCATTTGTTCCATGTCCATCACACACAGCAATTAAAGAACAATTGTAACTTTCTAAATAATCATAACCATTTACTGTTCTAAATTATTGGGAAATAAGATGGCTGCATCCTAATTAGTCTTTAATGTTTTATTAGGAAGACAACCAGCTTTAGTCTTTGAAGCAAATAATCCACCTTACCAGGATTTTGCCATTAATCTTCTTTTATTTAAGACTTATCTTTCAGGACTATATTATTATCTCTTTTCTGGTGTTACTGAAGAATAATGAGGCATAGGAGATTCTTCATCCAATTATTTTGGACTTCTCATTTAAGGACCATTGGAACTATGTTTTTATTTTGGAACATCACTTTTTGCATCTAATTTAGGCAGTCTACTTAGAATTCTATGACCATTTCCATAATTTGCTATATTTATCAATTTCTACTCTAAACAATATCATTTCTTTTAAGTACAAGGTTCAAAATTAGGGATTTCTTATTTCTTTATTCCTGGTAAAGAAGGCAAAGAAACCTTTCCATTTTACTTTGCTTCTTGTTCTTCATTCTTATATCTTTTTTAGCCCATTTATTTTTATATTCTACTTTAATCTATTTAATCAGATTAAGGATGTCTTGGAGGTTTTAGGGAACTGTACTCTAAAATTTAAATGTAACTCAGAATTTATAATATGGAAAGTATTATGAATTTATGAGTAAAGGTTTGTTATACCTATTGATGAAGTTGGCTTTGGTTTTTGATCAGATGACAATTGTTAGCTTTATGCTAACATTTAATTAATTATATTGATTAAATAATATATAACACTTTCATTTATGTGCCTTTACTCCTTTAAGGGCACCTGATTTTTTTGAAAATACTTCTTCAAATGCTTTGCTAGCTTAATTCTTGAATCTTTTATTGAGAGCCTAAAATTAAAGATATGAATTAATATTACTTTTGGATTTAATTATATAAAAGCAAATGGTTCAGGCCTTCCTTTTACAGTTACATCACCACCTGCCTTTTATTTTGATTTAAATGTAGAACCACTTTCTTTTACTACATGCACAACATCCTTTGTTTTTCTATCATTTCTTGTTATTTTCTTTTAAGCATGTTCTTCATCATCACTATTTGCAGCTTCTCTTCTACGCTTTTATCCCAATACTTCTTTTTATTCATTTACAATCACTTTTCCATCCTTATACTCAACTAAAGGTTTAATAGTAGATTATTTTTATTATTCCTTTTCTTAAATTTTTTTTTTTTATTTTATTGCATCTTCAAAATGG